CGCTGCGCAGCCGCAGCCGTACTTCGTTCCGCTCCTTGAGCAGGTTCTTCGTCTCCCGCCCTCTCGTGGTCCTCCTTCTCCCTTAGCGTGTCCACAGCCTGTCCAGTCGCGGTCACAGCTACAGCCCGCCTCCCCCCTAACTGCTCCTTCTCCATACACTGGTCCTATTGGAGGTCTTGGTGAGCGTCGTGAGCCTGCGTCTCGTCGTGCGTTGCCTGTTCATGCTGCTCGCACTAGTAGTCGTGCTCCGCGTCCGCGTCCTCTTGCTGTCCCAGGCACACACCAGATAGCACTGCGTCCTTCCACTCCTCTTCGTGTCCCATTGCCATCTCCTCCAGAGTCCTCTCTTCTTGTCCTTGCTGACTCGGAGTCTGACTCTCTTCGTGCTGCCAGTCCTACTATCACGCGTCTCCTGGCTACTGTTGTCACTGACCCTTCGTTTGAGTCCACTGCTGCGTCTGCCTTGGTTGCTGAGCTTGTCGACTTTGCTGCTCGCTGTCGCCTAGACTTTGCTGCTAGTCTTGTTGCTGAGTCTGAGTTTGTCTGTCTTCCGTCCATCGGGGGTGAGTGTGCTCTTAGCACGGACGTCCTTGAGGATAGGCAGGAGGAGTTCCAGTGTTTTGCTGCTACTTTGCCTCATCTCGTGTCCACGCTGATTGCCCCTAAGGGAGACCCGGATGCACCAGACATCCCGACTCCTCGATTGTACGCTGAGGCGATAGAGGGTCCCTACTCCTCACAGTGGCAGTCAGCCATGGACGCAGAGATGGCTTCCTGGAAGTCCACAGGCACCTACGTTGACGAGGTTCCCCCACCTGGGGCGAACATCGTCAGTGGCATGTGGATTTTCAGGGTGAAGCGGCCGCCGGGTTCTCCGCCTGTCTTCAAGGCGCGTTACGTGGCTTGAGGCTTCAGTCAGTGGCAGGGAGTTGACTAATTTCAGACCTTCTCTCCCACCCCGAAGATGACCACTCTTCGGGTGCTGCTGCACATAGCCGCTCAGCGCCACTACGAGCTTCACTCTCTTGACTTCAGCACAGCTTTCCTGCAGGGCAGCCTTCACGAGGAGATCTGGCTGCGCCGCCCACCTGGCTTCACTGGGTCATTTCCTCCTGGTACCCAGTGGAGCCTCCGGCGGCCAGTCTACGGTCTCCGCCAGGCGCCCGTGAGTGGCACAACACACTAAGGACTACACTTGCGGCTCTTGGGTTAGCTCCTTCTACTGCCGACCCGTCGTTGTTTCTGCGCACCGACACCTCTTTGCCGCCGTTCTACATCCTCGTGTAGGTTGACGACCTGGGACTTACCAGTAGTGACACTGCTGGACTTGCCCACGTGAAGTTGGAGCTACAGAAGAGACACACGTGCACAGACCTGGGTGAACTGCGCAGCTACCTTGGTTTGCAGATCACCCGTGATAGAGCACAGCGCACCATTACCCTGACTCAGTCACACATGGTGCAGCAGGTCCTTCAGTGCTTCGACTTCACGTACTCCTCGCCTCAGGCCACTCCTCCGTCTACTCGCCACTCGCTCGTAGCTCTGCCTTCGGATGAGTCCGTAGAGCTGAGTGGCCCGTAACCAGAGCTTGTTGGCTGCCTCATGTACCTGATGACCTGCACACGACCTGACCTTGCATACCCTCTTATCATCTTGGCACGCTATGTTGCTCCTAGGAGAAACCGACCAGAGCACATGGCTGCAGCGAAGAGGGTGTTGCGCTACTTGTGCAGTACGTCGGGCATGGGGCTAGTGCTTGGAGGGCAACGTTCAGTGGTCCTTAAAGGTCACGCAGACGCTTCTTGGGCTGACAAGCAGGCTACGCAGCGGTCGTCACAGGGTTACACCTTCAGCCTTGGTTCCGGCTCTGTTTCGTCGCGGTCTACCCGCTCGTCTTCTGTTCTCGGCTCCAGCTGTGAGGCTGAGATCTACGCGGGGGCCATGGCTGCACAGGAGCTACGCTGGCTCACCTACCTGCTGACTGACCTGGGAGAGCCGCCTCGTTCTCCTCCAGTTCTGTACGTAGACAACAAGGCCATGCTGGCCTTGTGTCAGGAGCACAGACTGGAGCACAGAACGAAGCACATTGCTCTTCGCTACTTCCTTGCTTGTGAGCTGCAGCAGCGTGGTCAACCGTGCCTTGCTTACATGGCCTCTGAGGCTAACACTGCTGATATCTTTACCAAGGCACTTTTGCCTTGTGATCATCAGCGCTTCTGTACGATGCTAGGTCTTGTGCCTACTTGGCCTCACTTGCTCACTTCTTGACCTTGCTTGTACTGTGATCTTTCTATACCTGCACTTGCTTGTTTGCCTATATATGATCTTGTATGTGAATTGGCCTTGTGGACTTGAACTTGTGCTCGGAATGTGTGGTGACGTTGTGATCCACCTTGAGCTTGCCTTGCTTTGCTTGACTGGTCTTTTGACCTCTTGTTCTCCCCCACTTTGCCTATGGGGGTGTGTCAAACTCATATGCTATAGTTTGTGTAGGCTGTAGTGGGGTAGACAATATGGGGTACAACACTTTTAGGTTTTCCTACTTGTACCCACCTGCTTGCTAGTTCATTCATTCCTCATTTCTTCACAGCTATAACTATAATAACCTATTGGAATGCACCTAACCTAGGAAATCTCTTAGTCTTCAAACGTACTAAGCTAGCTACTTACAAGCTCTATGTGGCACTAGAACTCTCTCCTCGGGGTCACCTCCTAGGGTCCTTGGGTGCCTGACCGAGGTCAGCCCCTATCCAAGGGCCCGATTGTGTAGAGAGAGAGTCGTAGCAACAGCTTAAGTGTTGTAGCAATCGTCGCTTCCTTGGCGTTGTCAAGAGAACTTACTATAGCAGCGTACTTGCAGCAGGCAGAAGAGAAATCCTTTACTCAAGCTATATTTTGGAGCAACAAGAACAACCAATTTTATGATAAGTTAAATCTTTCTACTCCTACCTTGATCTAGGTGTTTCATATTCACACCTCGTAGCACGAGCAGGTTTTCAGGTTCCCTCCCATTCAGCTACTTCCTTGCTTGTGAGCTGCAGCAGCGTGGTCAACCGTGCCTTGCTTACATGGCCTCTGAGGCCAACACTGCTGATATCTTTACCAAGGCACTTTTGCCTTGTGATCATCAGCGCTTCTGTACGATGCTAGGTCTTGTGCCTACTTGGCCTCACTTGCTCAATTCTTGACCTTGCTTGTACTGTGATCTTTCTATACCTGCACTTGCTTGTTTACCTATATATGATCTTGTATGTGAATTGGCCTTGTGGCCTTGAACTTGTGCTCGGAATGTGTGGTGACGTTGTGATCCACCCTGAGCTTGCCTTGCTTTGCTTGACTGGTCTTTTGACCTCTTGTTCTCCCCCACTTTGCCTATGGGGGTGTGTCAAACTTATATGCTATAGTCTGTGTAGGCTGTAGTGGGGGAGAACAAGAGGTCACACGCTAATAGATTGGTGATCGAGTAAGTTTGACCTCTTGTGTGACCTCTTGTTCTCCCCCCTGTCAGTGCTGCTAAAAAGCGTGAGCAACCAAACTTACTCGATTTCTTGGTGATCTACCCACCTGCGCTGAAAAACGATTCACGAGCATATGACGCTCGCGCTACTGAGCACGCTAATTAACACGCTAATGAACACACTAATGAACACACTCACGCGCTAACGAACACGATAATAACACGCTCACGAACGCGCTAATGAACACGTTGCGCGAGCAAGGACCAATCTCACTCCTCGAACAGTGGCAGCGCGAGCAGCTGCTTTCTCGAACTCATGAGCAACTACCATTTCGAACGGCAGCCAATCACAACCTCCAAAACAGCTCGCTCAGAACCAAAAAGTCGGACTCACTCCTTGAACACCACCAACCGCTCCCATTGGTCAAGACCAGCCTATACTTCACCTCGGTTGTACCAGAATCGCCGCTCCATTCAGCTGCAGTTACAGAACCTGAATCATAACCTTGAATCGGCAGATTGAATTACAGGAAAAGGTATTTCGGTAATCAACCTGGTATTTCCAAACAGAGCTTTCCCAAATTTGGTAGAAGGCGATTTGGTGGCAACTGAAAAGCCTAGAATTCTGTGTACGCGACCTGGTTCGGTGCTATAACTATAATAACCTATAAGAATGCTCCTAACCTAGGAAATCAAGCATAACTGTGCATGATAAAAAAAAACCCAAGCTAGTAAAAGCATGATAAAGTTAAGGCAAGCTAGCAAAGCCAGCATAAGACGTCGTACTCTTACATCTACACGTGGAGTTTTGAGCTAGAAATGCTCCTCCAAAGCGCTCAATTTCTTTTGTTTTTTTCAACGGAAACTACGCTAGCCCCTCTAGCGACACCGGCGAAGCTACAATGCAATACTATAATGAATTGTCTTATGGCGCACATCGTCCTGCTTAGGAACATGTCGCCGACCGAACAGCTTGGCATACGCTCTTTTAGGACTACACCTACCCCCGGGATGAAAGCTTGGAGTCATCTAACCAAGCTAGAGCAGTCTAAGAATTACGCATCCTCAAGCCGCCTCATGCAGTAATTCATGGATAATCAAGATGGCCCCAAAAGAAAAGGCCAATTGGTACATCTACCAATGCTGTAGTATTTGCGATCAACTTATAAATTGGGCTACTCAATCGCTGAAGACATTTTTGTTACCATAATTCTTATCGGATTAGGTCCCCGCTGGAAGCCGCTGTTGAGATAGTAAGAGTAGGGCCTAGGCTTAGTAGCCTAGGCCAAAGGGAGTCGAGAGAGTTTTGGCAAAGAGTGGGGAGTTCACTATTGAGTTAGGTACAAATAGCAAACAAAGCATGCAAAGAAGGTGCACCACCAACAAGTTTATAATAACTACACTAACTACAGCTACAAGCAGTTACAGATATATTCTAACACTCCCCCATAACTGCCTGCAGTAGAAGCTAATGCAGAGACACCCCCTAAAGGGGTACACCAAGCGCAGCAGAAGGAGAGGGCAAGTGAGGAGGAGGGACTATATGAGGAGAAGCTGCTGGCAGGTGAAGCTGCTGGCTCCAAGGCGGCTGCTTCCTAGAACCTTCCTCAGTCCTCCAACTCCCCCTTCCACACTCCTCGACAACCCTAGCACCTCTCCCCCAGCTCCCCCACACCCTCACACCCACCCCCCCCCCCCCCTCCAAGCGGTAGCTACAGCAGTGGGAGAGAAAGGAGGAGGAGGGGAAGGGGATCACACACACCCATCACCCCCATACCCGCCACCCCCATAGCCTCCGTTCCACGGCTGCACGCGCAGCAGGGAGACAAAGAAGGGGGAGGGGGAAGAGCAGGGGCAGCATAGGCACGGGCAGGGCAGCCGCGCGTGCAGGGCAACAGCGCGGAGCAGGGCAGGGCAGCCGCGCATGCAGGGCAACAGCGCGGAGCAGAGCCGGGGCAGCAACAGGCGGCAACGGGCAGCACAGGCACCGGCAGCATCGGGCGGCGACAGGCAGCACACGCACGGGCAGCAACGGGCGGCAACGGGCAGCACAGGCACGGGCAGCAACGGGCGGCAACGGGCAGCACAGGCACGGGCAGCAACGGACGGCAACGGGCAGCAAAGGGCGGCAACGAGCAGCACAGGCATGGGCAGCAACAGACGGCAACGGGCAGCACAGGCACGGGCAGCAACAGGCGGCAACGGGCAGCACAGGCACGGGCAGCAACGGGCGGCAACGGGAAGCACAGGCAGGGGCAGCAACAGGCGGCAACGGGCAGCAACGGGCGGCGACGGGAAGCACAGGCACGGGCAGCAACAGGCGGCAACGGGCAGCACACGCATGGGCAGCAACGGGCGCCAACGGGCAGCACAGGCACGGGCAGCAACAGGCAGCAACGGGCAGCACAGGCACAGGCAGCAACGGGCGGCAACAGGCAGCACAGGCACGGGCAGCAACAGGCAGCACAGGCACGGGCAGCAACGGGCGGCAACGGGCAGCACAGGCACGGGCAGCAACGGGCAGCAACGGGCAGCACAGGCACGGGCAGCAACGGGCGGCAACGGGCAGCACAGGCACGGGCAGCAATAGGCGGCAACGGGCAGCACAGGCACGGGCAGCAACGGGCGGCAACGGGCAGCACAGGCACGGGCAGCAACAGGCAGCAACAGGCAGCACAGGCACAGGCAGCAACAGGTGGCAACAGGCAGCACAGGCACGGGCAGCAACAGGCTGCACAGGCAGCACACGCACAGGCAGCAGCAGGCGGCAACAGGCAGCACAGGCACGGGCAGCAACGGGCGGCAACGGGCAGCACAGGCACGAGCAGCAACGGGCGGCAACGGGCAGCACAGGCACGGGCAGCAACAGGCAACACAGGGAGGCAGCCGTACTCAGTCTAGGAGCGGCGGCGCATGCAGCTGTAGGGTCGGCGCCGTGAGCTGCTGCTGAGGTCCAGGGGCGGCTTCACCAGGGGCAGCTGCTCCAGGGGCCAGGGGCGGGTACTCTGGGTCCAGGGGCGGCTGCAACAGGGGCGGCTGCACCAGGGGCCAAGGGCGGCTGCGGAGGTCCAGGGGCGGCTGCACCGGGGGCGGCTACTCCAGGGGCCAGGGGCGGCTGCTTTGGGTCAAAGGGCAGCTGCTCCAGGGGTGGCGCTGGTGCATGGCAGAGGCGGTGGCCAGGGGGTAGGGCGCCGCGACGAGCAAGGACGGCGCCCAAGGGGCGCCGCGACGAGCAGGGACGGGGCCCAAGGGGCGCCGCGACGAGCAAGGGCGACGCCCCATGGGCGCCGCGACGAGCAGGGGCGGCGTCCAGGGGGCGCCGCGACGAGCAGTGGCGACGCCCCGCGGGTCCCGCAGGGGCGTCGCGACGAGCAGGGCGACGCCGCGCGGGTCCTGCAGGGGCGTCGCGACGAGCAGGAGCGGCGACGCCCGGGTCCCGCAGGTGCCTCGCGACGAGCACGAGCGGCGCCTTGCAGGGCGCCGCAAAGTGGAGGGTACGGGCGGGCAAAACAGGCCCGCGCGTGGACGTGAGGCAGGTGCGCAGGCGGCGTGAGAACAGGCCGTGCGCGGGGCAGGAAGACGCCGCGTGCCCAGGGCGCACGGCGGGCAGAAAATTGCCGTGCGCCCCGAGCACACGGCGAGAAAAATATGCCGCGTGCCCGAGGCGCGCGGCAGGACGAAAGGCAGCGGAAGCAAATTGGTGGGCCGTTTAAGGAAGGGAGCAGGAAGGTACCTGCTCTGAGTACCATGTTGAGATAGTAAGAGTAGGGTTTAGGCTTAGTAGCCTAGGCCAAAGGGAGTCGAGAGAGTTTAGGCAAAGAGTGGGGAGTTCACTATTGAGCGAGGTACAAATAGCAAACAAAGCATGCAAAGAAGGTGCACCACCAACAAGTTTTTAATAACTACACTAACTACAGCTACAGGCAGTTACAGATATATTCTAACAGCCGTGCAAAGCCTTGCTATGGCAACAAGGCTCCCTCTCTGAAGCCACACTTTGCACCGCTCTCCTACAAAAACAACAAGATATGGACTAGCAAAGGCTCCTCATGGTGAGAGAAATGCCTTCTATTTTCACCCAGAAAAATGTCGCAACAACCGCGAACACCAACCTCACCAATATTACTTCAAAAATTGCAAGGCCTTCGGACACTCAACCGAACACTATCGATCAGCCCCGCGACCCAACGTTACGTCCACCTAGGGACAAATAAAAAGCATCTACTCAGCGCGCCAAGAAAATTGACTATCTATTTACCATCGATCTGCTCCACGCCAACAAGCATCATCGGCACAACATCCCCAAAGGCCCCCTCATAACAAGAACGTGCGCCACATCATGGGAAAAATGGCGATGCGTACTAACCGATAGACATGATGCACAAAACATCACCTTCGTCATGTCCCTCCACACCCCCATGTACACTGGTACAACCCTCCAACTGCAACAACCTGTTCACTCAAGATGGTCAAGGCTGGAATCTCCCCATTCTGCTCCTGGAGTCCCCTTCGCACGATTAAGACTTCTACCATTAAATAATCAAGGACGATAACTACTATGGTGGAGAAAAGAGAATTCCCTTCCGCACAACTCCCAACCTCGCCCTTGCCGCCCAAAATGGCAAGGACACAAATAAACAAACAAACATAGAGGAGAGGTTGGGGGGTGGGGAATTTTTGGATAGGGTCTTTAGAGTTGTCTTGATGGGGTTCCTTGTGTGGTGTTTTTTTAGTCTTTTGGGGGTGCACTTTCCCTTTCCTTTTCCCTTTCCTTCAACTTCCTCTGCCTCTTTTTTCCTTTCTCCCCTTTCTACTTTCCTTCTCCCTACCCTTCCTATTCATCTCTTTCTCTTCCCCCTTTTCTTCCTTTTGATACCTCTCCCTGAGCCTTGTATTACACCGTGGTGAAGGCAGCGGGGACGAAGAAGTCGGGTGGTCTCTGAGTTCGACCTGACGTTTGAGGCCCAGGCGGAACCTCCACCACGTCGCTGTAGGTGGACTGCTCGGAGCCCCCTCCTTCGTCACCGGCTTTGCTGCCCTCGACGTCCTGCTGCACCTCAGTTGGCGTTCCGGCCGACTTCTCCCCTGCGGTCGGCTCCCCTGCCGACCGCCCGGTTGTCGACTGCTCCGTGGTCGGCTTCAATGCTGCCTACTCCCCTGTCGACTGCTGCTCTACTAGTGCTCTCTTCGCCGGCGTCACCAAAGTCGGCTGCATCTCCTTGACCTGGTTCTCCCCTATCTATGTCGACTTCATTCCCACGTCGACTTGCTGCTCGTCTCGTCAGCCACCGGCGATGCCCTTGGCCGGCGCCGAAGGCGATGTCCCACTGCTCCCCTCATCGCCGGAGAATGACACCGGCCCACGAAGGTCGGCCACAAGGGGAGGGGTAGGAGGGGCACGGGAGGGGAAGGTAGAGGGGACTGTCAAACTCATATGATATAGCTTGTCTAGGCTATAGTGGGGTAGACACTATGGGGTACAGTTTGCTAGGGTTTCCTACTTGTACCCAACCTTGTGCTAGTTCATTTCATTCCTCAATTCTCACATGGTATAGAGCAGGTTCCCTAGTGGGAACTTCCTAGGGCCCATCACTGAACATCGATTTTTTTTGTTTCCTGCCCTGAGATCGAGTCGCTTTTGACCGAGGCACGCCCTGTGTGCAGCCCTCCCCTTAGCGACTAGTCGCGCCGCCCTTAGCGGCCCTCCCCCTCTCTCACGGCCCCTCGCGACCCCGTCGCCGCCCTCCTAGCGGCCCGTCGCGCCGCCCTCAGCGGCCCCTCCTCCACGCCCCCATCGCAGCCCTATCGCGGCCCCGTCGCCGCCCTCTCGCGGCCCCGTCGCCGCCCTATCACGGCCCTGTCACTGCCCTATCGCGGCCCCGTTGCCGCCCTATTGCGGCCCCGTCGCTGCCCTCTCGAGGCCCTGTTGCCGCCCTATCGCGGCCCCGTCGCCTCCCTCTCGCGGCACCGTCACCGCTGTTCGCGGCCCCGTTGCCGCCCGTAGCGGCCCTGCAGCCGCCCCTCGCGGCCTCGTCGCCGCCCTCTCGCGGCCGCGTCGCAGCCCTCTAACGACCCCAGTCGCCGCCCTTTTGCGGCCTCGTCGCCGCCCCTCCGCGGCCCCGCTGCCGCCCCTAAGCGGCCCCATCGCCGCCTCCTACGCGGCCTCGACGCCGCCTTCGCCGAGCCGCCTAGCAGTAAAGCCACCGAGCCGCCTAGCAGTAGAGCCGCCGAGCCGCCTAGCAGCCGAGCCGCCTAGCCCCCGAGCCGCCCGACAACCAAGCCGCCGAGCCGCCTAGCAACCGAGCCGCCTAACCGCCGAGCCGCCCGACAGCCGAGCCGCCCAGCAGCCGAGCCGCCGTGCCGCTCAGCAGCCGACCCGCCGAGCCGCCCGACCGCCGAGCCGCCGAGCCGCTAAGCCGCTACTAGTCCTACCGACGCGCCCCGGCCCTACTTACTTGTACCGGTGAGTCCACTCCTTGCTAGACCTCTGCAGTAATGGCTACCCCCAGTGTTGTTACCTTTGACACTGAGGGCCGAGCTGTTTACTTTGAGGTCTGGGTCGATGACCTCCAGCTGTTCCTTCTGTGCGATAGGGCAAACGACCTCTCTCTATTCGACGTCACCTCTGGTGCCTCCCCTGCCCCGCCTGCTACTGCTGACAGCACTGTTCGCTCAGAGTGGGCGACACGCGATGCTGGTGCCCGTCTTGATGTGCGTCGCCACTTAGCGACCAGTGAGCGTGCACACTTTAGCCAGTACAAGAGTGCTCACACCTTGTACGACGCTGTAGCGGCACGCTACTCTTCCCCTGCCACTGATGCACTGAGCCGCCTCATGCTACCGTACCTCTTCCTTGACCTTGCTGCCTTTCCCACAGTCGCTGACCTCATTACGCACCTCCGCACTAGTGACACTCGCTACCGCGCTGCGCTTCCTGCTGAGTTCTGCGCCAAGAACCCCCGCCCCATGTACATCACCCTCTACTACATAGTCGCCCGGCTCCCTGACTCTCTCCGCGTAGTCAGAGACCACTTCCTCTCAGTTTTCCCCACCACTCTCACCGTTGACCTCCTCGACAAGGGCCTCCTAGCAGCAGAGAAGAGCATAGTCGCTGTAGGAGCCTCTCGTGGTGACCCGCGCACCCCCGTCTTTGAGGGGTGTTCCCCCTCTCCCCTCTTGCCCTCTGTTGCTTCTGCTGCTGCTGCCGACCTCGTTGGTTTCTCCAGGGTCGGCGTTGCGTCTGCCCCTAGCGGGAGACGCCGCACCGGCAAAGGCAAGGGGGGCAAGGGCGCTGGAGGGGCTAGCGGGGACGGTGGAGGTGGTGGTGGAGGCAGTGGAGGGGGTGGGGTTGGTGGTGGGAGTGGTGGCGGGGGTGGCGACGGCGGTGGCAGCAGTGGAGGTGGGGGAGGCGACGGTGGCGGCGGAGGGAGCGGAGGCAGCGGAGGTGGCGGTGGCGGCGGAGGTGGTAGAGGCGGCGGAGGTGGTGGAGGCCGAGGGGGCGGTGGTGGCGGCGGCGGTGGAGCTGGTCGCGACTCTGCGCAGAGGAGTGGGTCCGGTGGTGGTCCGCGGCAGCAACAGCACCGCGGTCGTGAGACCCTGACCCCTCAACAGCTTCGTGAGTGGTACGCTACGCGTCAGCCCGGTGGGGGTACTGGTCCCTGCACTTACGTCCTCCGTACCGGCGACCGCGCTGGTGAGCAGTGCGGGGGCCGGCACTCCACCCAGCGCTGCTTCGGCCGCCTGACAGACGCGTGGCGTCACCAGTTCCCTGAGGCGTCAGAGATCCCTCGCAGGGGAGATCTGTCTAGGGTGGGGGTTGCCATCTTTGATCTTGACTATGATGCTATCCTTGCTGCCATATATTCTGTGACGAGTAGTGTTGAGGGTGACTGTTAGCTGTG